AAGTAGCATTTGGCTGGTTATGTTTTTCTTGTTCAATCTTGTGTCTGTGTCTTGTCTGTATGTTTGAGTCTGTGTCTGGGTGTTAGTCATTTCCTGTTTTATTTTTATAGTCTCTTGTCTTTTGTGCTTTGTATTTAGTTCTACTTGTTTGGCTAATCTGCAGTGATTTCACTCACTTGTGTCTCGTTCTCCCCAGATATCTTCACTGTCTCCCTAATTATCCTTCTATGTGTGTATTTGTGGTCTCTGTCCCTGCTTAAGTTGTTGCAATGCATACTTTCTTACTAGAGGTGTGCTCTTTCTAAAAAGGAGGAAGTGATGTAATGCTGTTAAAGCTGCAAAGAGTTTATCTTTAGGTGCAGTGATGTTCACATCTGTCTGTTTTTAGCCTTTTCTGTGAGCACACTCAGCTGTAAAGATCTTTTCAAGATTCAAACAAACAACTTTCAGACTAGAAGCTAAAATCTACAGCAATCATGATCTTGGCAGAAGCTGGATTTTTTGGGCTGGGTTTGATTCTGTGTCTCTCAGGTAGGAATGACTCTTTCTCCTCCTTATGATGACTAAAGATTATAAAAATGTTTCAAGTGTAGAAAAACGTACAAAGGTTATTAAAGAATGTTAGAAAACATGAGATTAGAGAACAGGAGTTCTGCTTTGAAGAGCACCTGAAGTGCATAAAAGGACAATAATATCATCACTGAATGACTGGAACAGAGTAGAAACATGTCTGAACAGACGTTTGTAATAAATGTTTTGTTAATCCACTGAGGGGAAAATGAACAGCCACCATGCAGGACTCTAAACACTTGAACTCTTAAACGCCATGAACATATAAAGAAATCAGAAATAGCTTTTTTCAGCTCACAGAATGAATATTTTGTCATTAGAACATCATTAATGGAACAATCCACTCTCAGCCCAGATGGATGTTTTCAGAGTAAAACCAACAGAAAACAGCTGCAGCTTGACACCAGAGTAAGGTCTACATCATTACAGCTGTTCATGCTCACGAACATCAGTCTGGAGATTCTTTGACACCACAGACG